TGTGTTAATTTGGAAGAACGAATTGATAGTTTAGTTCATGATATACTTGGAGCAGACGAATCTGTAAACGATGTTGATATAAGTAAGTGATCTATTCGCGTATTGATGCCAGCCGCTTTATTTTGTGGCAAGATCCTCAACAAGAAGTTGTCCTTTGTGGACAACGGTATTGCCAATGGAAGCATTATCCATTTTATTATTAAACCTAAAATCTTAATTCGTGACGTCCAAATTTTGAGTCCTATTAGCACTTCCCAAGTTCTCACTGACCTTAATTACATATTAAAGTCAGGAAACACAGCGAAGGTAAAGGTTCATAATCTTAATCGTATTAAAAATGCTTAAGAATGGATACATTAATCGTCTTATAGATAATCGAACTATTCTTGAATAAAAAGTGGTCAGAAGATATGCTGGTAAGCAACCCTGAACTGGGCAAAGATGTGGTTGCTTATTCCATACTTCAGGACTTAAAATTACTTACAGTTATTATCAAGGATAGGCAAAGCATAGCAAAGTATGTCAGAATTTTTCCAACTAGTATAAGCGTGCAGTTTCAGTATCTTATATGTTTTTGTTGCTTCCAGATTAATTTCCACGCACCCTTGTCTGTTGAAAGCTTTACATTTGGCTATCAAGACTATTATGGAATCTCTATATACTGAAGATTCTGTTTACTCGCAATTGTTAGGACAAGATTCTTTGCTGGCACAACATCCTGTCCTACAGGACTATACCGTCGACCAGGTAATTGGTTACTCCGGTTATATCTTCCCGCGTGCTTATTTTATCCTCTCAACTTCATTAAATATTTTGATATTCTCCTGTTGCTATTATAAATTTTATCCATTACTTTTTGTTCTTAAACCGTTCACATCTTGCATTCATTACTTATATCAATATCCCGAATTTATCAGGAATCAAATATATACGCTTACGTTGCAATTTTTGGTTCAAAGCCATATATTAATGGGTTTTGAACGCGAGGACAAGTAGCTCTTATCACACTGAAGTTTTGATTTACATTTTTACATGAATAAAATAATAATAGAACTTTAATATTCATAGAAATAGGTTGACCTCGTTTTTGCAACTTGGTCTTTTTGTCAGGGCGACTTGGTTGAACGCACCTTGTCTGAAATCCTCTGCCATAGTAATTACCATAATTCCCAGCATCAGACCGTGAAGTTGTTACATTCTCAGACATTTGGCCGGCATCATCAGTGAGTCTTGACATTATCCGCACCAAGCTACAAACTCGTCAAAGAGATAAGTGAAGTCAATCCCTCGACCAACGTTTTGCCGAAACTGTTACGCTGCGACCATACCGAGGGCCACATCACCTTAGTCTTCATATCTTCGTTTAATATTCATAGTTCACTGTTTTGTCCTTATTACGCATACTACTAGTCACTACTTGGTATTCCTTAATTTATTTTGCCTTTTAGGAACTGGAAGATGAAGATGAGGAAGAACTTGATGAGGCAGAAGAGCAAATTTTAGATGTTCCACATGAAAGCTCTCCTCAGCTGTCAAATCGGCAGTCTGGAAACTCAATTTACCGTGGGCATTCGAATAGTCGGCGCCACCGGGGCTCGCGGATTGGAAC